ATTGATCGGTGGTGTCTTCCCCGGCTTGACGGCAAAGTTAAGGCAGCACCGCAGGAGGGAATGGAAGTGAGGGGAGGGGGGTAGTACTTCGGAAACTTGGCTCCAGGCCCAGGACCCAAGATACGTGCTGGACCAGTTATTTCAACAGATTCTTCTTCCTTCCGTGCAGCTTCCAGTCCCAAATTCTTTCTCTCCAAATTCTCTCTCTGCTCGGTTCCTACGGTTCGATCGGTTCCTGTTCCTGTAGTTGGAAAAAATAAACAAACAAATAAATCAATTGAAATTAGTAAATGAACAAGCTGGGGACTTGAAGAGAATTAACTGTCAACTTCAGTATTCTCGCCGCCTTAAGAATACCATCAGTTTTTCACATTTCTGGTCGTGATATAATCGATAATCGATTTTTTAACCTCCTAAGTTGCGTCCGCTCACGCATTCTTGTGTTTTACTATGTGGTTTTTCCCATGCTTAATTGTATTTTTGAACAGATCCGCCTAGTTGATGGCCACATGTAGCCAACCGGTCACCAACAGATAGAAGGTCTGTTTTCTCTGTGATTTTTTTTGTATAATAGGCTAGAGAATGTTCTTTTCAATCGATACCATAAGAAGATCGATTTATTGATTTTCAGTGGATGGGGCCGAATGCTGACGCGACAAGTGTTTGTGATAGCGTGGGCGGTGGCGATGTACGCGATATCGCACGCGAATCGCGACGCGAATCGTCTTTTCGAGGATCTGCTCGCCGACTACAACAAACTCGTCCGGCCCGTCGATAACAACAGTGACACGCTCGTCGTCCGATTCAAATTAAAGCTTAGCCAATTACTCGACGTGGTCAGTTCTTTGGCATTTCCTGTCTGTCCCCCCCCCCGTTCCCCTTTGCAATGGATCAGTGCCCTTGATCACAAGTTGGGCACCTGATCCGTTGGAAGGAGGGCCTGTTGGCGCGGGTGTGACGGCTCTTCAAATCTGCCAATCTCCCCGGTCCGATTTGTATCCCATTTGTTCACCGATCAGCGATGATCGCCACCAGCTCTGACATGGGAGATTGGGAGATTTGGAGGGATTGCTTTGTTTCTTTCTGATTAAATTGTCAGTAAAAATCAGTAATTTTCAGCATGAAAAGAATCAAATCATGACGACGAACGTATGGCTGCAGCATGTAAGTCCTACGTTTGCTTCGAGCGTTTTTTTTCTTAAATTTTATTTACATCAATTTTTTAACTTTCATTGATTCGTTGAGAAGCTTTGCAGTACAAAAGAATGAATTCTTACCAAGCAGAAGGAAAAAGATTACACAGAAATGCAGTCGTCGTATAGCCCATGCAATGTTTCTGCTTGCCAGATGTTATTTTGAAAGATGGAAACTGGGAAAACGGACAAAAACTCCT